GTGTGTGTGTGTGTGTATTTAATTCTATCTAGTCCAACATGGGGCTGTAAGATATAAACTAAGTTTCAGATGAAAGATGCATTTTTAAAGAAATTCAAAAAATATTGATCTTCGTCACTATTATAGTAGTAGAATATAGACTGGACAATAAAAGCATCAGGCTTGTTGTAACCTGAATGTTGTCTGTGATAATGGGTTCAATGTATCCAGTGTATAATAATATGATACTGTGTACAATGTGATACGAAATACAGTGCATCCAATGTATGATAATAAATGATACTTGGTATAATGTCATTCTAAATACAGTGTATCCAGTATTTTTATTTCCACACACCTGTTGCCCTGAAGCCTTTTTGATAATTTGGTTTGTTCATTTATTTTGTATTTTAAAACGTTTCATTTAGTAGCCTAACACTCGTTTTAAAGATCATATTGATCATCCTTTTATTTTTTTTAATCCAAATATTTCCTTGTGGGTTTGCCACTAGGCTGCTGTTGGAGTGCAGCTCCTCTCTTCCCCCACTGGTCGGCGCTGTTCACCACTTAATGAGTGCAGTGCTGAGCGTTGATTTGAACGCTCTGCTGCAGGTTTTAAGATGAGATAAGATAAGATGAATCTTTAATGACCTCGATGGGGAACCTGCTCAATTTTGGCATTATCATTACATGCCAATCAAAGAGCAACTGGAAGAATGTGAAACAACTCTTATCTGGGAGAGACACTATTGTTAGTTATGGAATATATTTTATAAAAATGGGATCTGTGGATTACCGTATATTGTTTCTATTACATTGTATCTATTATATTGTATCTATTGGACATATACCCTCTGATAGGTGTAAGATTCTATTTTTTAGATATGGTCTATAGCCTATAGAATAATCAAGTTTAACGTCGACTGTTAAAATAGACAATAACCAATGAGCTCAATGATAACCCTAAATGAGTCTGTTGTATTATTTCTCTTTAATGTGACATGATTGAAACATTTGATTTCATGCCTCATTTTGGGATTATTCGGCCCTAAAAAGTTAACAGACTAACGTTTTAATTAATAACGAATAATGACGCCAATCGTATTAATCGAGCCGCCTGCAGCAGGAGGCCTTTTTGGTAATGAGGTTTTGTCCCTCTAATTCATCCTTCTGAGAAACGACGATTGGTCACACGGCCAACACTTTAATTGCTCCCATTGATTGATAGTATAAAAACACAACAATGCAGCCACATAGCCCGGGTGGTTCCCCCCTATAAGAAAGCTGGCTGAGTGAATTGGGTGTAGCTGTGTCTGTGTGCGCCTTGGCCAATGGAACCAGATCCTCCCTGCAGTGCGTAAGAGCGCGATTTAGGATTTAACCAAGTCTTTGCTGCGGGGCTGGCTGCAGTCTTCACCAGAGCCCGACGGCCCGAGAGCCTTTCAACAATGCCAGTGTAGTTTCCACACCACTTTGGAGTCAAGACTGCTTCTTTTTTGCTATATATAAATCTAAAACAAAACCCCGCGCGTTCCTTCCCGAAGTATGACTGGAGTATTCGACCGGAGGATCTCGAGTGTGAAACCTGCAGATTTCCAGAGCTCCTTTCAACTCTCCACCATGCATCATCCGTCTCAGGAATCTCCTACTTTACCCGAGTCCACCGCCACGGATTCTGGCTATTACAGTCCGGCCGCTGGAGTCACTCACGGCTACTGCTCGCCCAGCTCCACCTCGTACGGGAAGCCGCTCAATGCCTACCAGTACCAGTACCCAGGTGTAAATGGATCCGCTGGAAATTACTCGACAAAATCCTACACTGATTACAGCTCGTACACGACCCCCGCCTACCACCAGTATGCTGGGACTTACAGCAGAGTGCAAGCCCAGCCGAGTCCACAAGGTACGGGCCGCAGATTTTATCCATTATAATAAGAGCAGATTGTTAGTTTGTAATCTCATGAACGTATTTTATAACCGAACTGTCATATTTTCATCGTGTTTTATTGTTACTTTGCATTTTCTTTCCCTGTCTGTTCCTCTCGCGTGGAAATCCAAAAAATTGCAATCTGAAGCTTAATGGATAAATGAGGAATTCATGTTTATTTAGGTTTATTTGAAACCACGCAATAAATGTGATTTTTTAGTATTATGAGAATACACGTGCTTTCCTTTTTTTTCTGCCAGCCTATAATTAATTTGGTTTAGGAAAGCGGATTTTCTTTCAAATTTAGAGACATAGACGACGACCCATTTAAAAAAAAATAGATATTTAAAAAGACAGCGCAGTTCGTGACGAGCAGACATGCTTATTCGTGTTGGGATTATTTTTCACAGAAAAAGAGATAAGCGAGCCTGAGGTGAGGATGGTGAACGGCAAGCCGAAGAAAGTGCGGAAACCCCGGACGATCTACTCTAGCTTCCAGCTGGCCGCACTGCAGAGGCGGTTTCAGAACACACAGTACCTGGCGCTGCCGGAGAGAGCCGAGCTGGCTGCCTCGTTGGGGCTCACGCAAACACAGGTGGGATGTTCGATCAGTTGCATTTATTGTTTTTAATGTGTGTCTCTTTTTTCTTTTTTTTAAAGAAGAAAAAAATAGTGTTTTTGGTGAGCCTTGTTTCTGCGCGCCTTTACGCACCGCGCCTGCTCCAAACCCCCATTGTTTCTGAGGTTATACATGAGATATTAATGGCTCTGCTTTTTCCGCTCTTTTCCAGGTCAAAATCTGGTTCCAGAACAGGAGATCAAAATTGAAGAAGATCATGAAAAACGGCGAGCTTCCACCGGAGCACAGCCCCAGCTCCAGCGACCCCATGGCGTGCAACTCTCCACAGTCCCCGGCCGTTTGGGACACACAGGGCCCCTCCAGGCCGCACAGCCTACAGCCACAAAACATCAACACGACGGCTTCTAACTTTTTGGAAACCTCGGGGTCATGGTACACCTCAGCCGGCAGCTCCATGGCTTCCCACCTGCAGACCCCTAACTCGATACAGCACTCGTTGGCTCTTGGAGCGGGGACGTTATATTGAAAAAACCCTGTTGTTCATTTCAAATCCCCTTTTTTTCCTTCTATGGGACTCGTGTTCAAATTTCAGAGGAATATGCAATGTATTTGATGACAGTCATAGAAGAAACGTGTAAAATGTGTAAATGTGTGCATGTAATTTATTGCATTTTGGAAGACTATTAAACGTTTAAATGGACAATGGAACTTTGAAACCTCCGGCCTCACTGCAGTCTCTTGTTATTTTAACCTTCAGTTATTTACACGGAAAATCACGACAAAGACTCACACACATAAATAATGTTTGTGAGCCTCAGGTGACATTTCCCCCACCAGGTTGTAAATCACAGCTGCTCAGTATTGAGATGAACCTAGAAAATGTCGTAGCTTTCATTCGCCATAACGCCCTCAATCCCTATTTATTCTGTGATTTTGATTTTTGATTAAAGACATTACACAGACAAACTGTCTTGGAGATGGGGATGGAAAATATCTGTCTTTTTTTGTGAGAAATGTGCCTTTATTTTCCTTTGTGGTCAGGCTCAGCTTAGTCTGCATTTGCGATAAAAGAATTGAACTGAGAATTTGTGACTTTATTAAACAGACATTAAGCAAAAAAAATGTGTTATTGTAAATACATTTCTGAGAAAACATGGCTACCATGGACCACGGTAAGCCTTAACCTACCATAATAATTACACTTGCCCTAATTGAATACCGGTATTTCTTGAACTGGATTGATTTGTTCTATAATATTACTGTTGACATTTCTGCAGAATATCATTATAATAGTCTTATAATATTTTATAGAGACTAATATCTTGTTTGTGGGAGTCATATTGGCCTATTTCCCCTTATAGTATTTTTTAAACACTCGGATTTATGATAATATCACAGGCTTTATATCCTGATATTGTTATAATAATCCATATTTTTAAAATAACCCACATTGTTTCAAGCCCAGGGTATTTTCCCCTCCTATTTAATATTATAAAATCCTTGGCTAACCCTTGTTTTTATTATTATTATTGTTATTATTATTGTATTCGCCGTTGCCTCTGATCACCACCAGAATGATCAGCTTTTTTTTATCATTCACATTGTGTTTTAGTGGAGAAGCTGATTGAGCCTCTCAGTCGGTTCCAGCTCGTCTGTAGAGAAAATGCCTGCTCCTCGCAGCAGACAGTCTGCAGTCGCTCTCGCTTTGTGTCCCCTACAATTAGCCGCTTTGAATGGCAGAGAGGAGGCGAGGGGGGCGGCACGGAGATCTGAGACAATCCGCATTCCTGTGGGGGTAGACCGGCTCCAGAGCTCTGCCACTCCCGGCCGCAGCCCACCTTCCGGGTAAAATAAAAAAAAAAAAAAGGAAGAAAAGAAAAAAGAAAAGAAAAATCCTCCACAATTTCACCATGTTATTAGCAGGCAGTAATACCAGCGCTGCCGCTGCGAAACCGCCGAACAAACCGCGCCACTGTGAGAAACACTGGGGATTGGAAAATTGATCTAATTGAATTTACCCGGCCATATGCAGCAAGATCATATAAGTGTGTTTTTACAAACAAACATGTTGCTCAACCCCCCCC